CGAAGAGCAACGCAGCAATCATCTTCATTGACTTTGAGAAAGCATATGACCACGTGGATTGACTTTTCCTTGACAAATGTCTGGAGAAACTCAATGTTGGGATAAACTTCCGCCGCTGGATCCAGATCCTCCACGGGACCGCAACCACGAGGGTAATGATAAATGGCAACCTGGCCCCCCCCATTAGCCTCCAGCGATCAGTCCGTCAAGGCGACCCCATAGCACCTTACTTGTTCGTTATTGTCATGGAGGCACTGGCCGCTAACCTGAGGGCCCACAAAGATCTCAAAAGGATCCAAGTCACAGCAATACCGGAGGAGGCAATCCCGGTCTGCTCGCTATTTGCAGACGACCTGACCCTGATGGTGGATGCCTCCAAGGACTCAATGGAAGAGGTGCGCCACATGATGGACCGCTTTTGCAGCCTGTCTGACATGAGGGGAAACTGGGGAAACAAAACCCTGGGATGGTGGATACACCACCAAGGTGTGAGACCCCCAGAACATCCCAGGATCAACTGACTCCCTCCAGAAGCCCCCATCAGGGTCCTAGGTATCTCTATGACGGCAGAAGGAAGACCACCTACGAACAACGACTGGATCACCACACCCCCCTTGGCCAAAATAGCCCTCTGGAGGAACAAACACACATCGCTGTTTGGTCGCAGCCTGGTTGTAAACAACGTAGTGCTGGCCACGATGTGGTACAAATCAGTCATTTGGGCACTAGACAAGAATGCTCTACGCCCACTAAAGCGCCAGATAGCCGCTTTCTTATGGCGGGGAGACCACGAACGACAAAATGTGATCAGTCGAGTAGCCTGGGCATCATCGACCCTCTTTTGCAGACCAAGGCACTGGCCCTACAATGGCTCAAACGCCTCCTCTTCGATCCCGAGATCCCCTGGAGAAGGCTTGCACTAGAACAGATTTCCCGGCTAGCACCACAAACGCCAGCAGAGATTGACCCACTAACATGGTTGGAAAACAGGGAATGGCCCATCACGCGAGCAAGAGTGCAACAAAGGGACCCCCTCTCGGACTGCCCCCGGCAAGCAGCTAGAGTTGATCTGCGAAACGACCCCTTCTGGCCCTCCCTCCTCAGGACCTGGAGGAGCCTCCCCCTCCCTGACAAGACAACGCCGGAAAGATGGGAGGAGGTGGCACGCCAACCCCTCTTTGGAAATCGATGGGTGGTGGACTCGAATGGCCGCATGCTCCTCTGCACAGATTCCCCCTGGCAGAATTGGATCAAAAAAGGGATACTAAGGATAATAGACATCTGGGACGAGGACAGGAAGGACTGGATTGATCCGGACCAGCTACGGAAAAAACTGCGCTATTGTCACATACCATACGAAGCCTTAGAGAAGCTAATCGAAATGATCCCTTTAGCCTGGTGGAAAACTCTCCGCAAAGGCCCCTCATTGCAAGTATCTGACTGGGTAGCGGTCAAACACCAGCACGGCAGGGTGGGGAGGGTGGTCCGCTGCCCTCAAAACGGGACAGTGGTGCTGGAACTCTCACCGGTGGGACAAAATAATGCTATCCAAAGAAATCCCGGGGAACAGGAAGCAACATACCGAACAGAGGCAGTATATAGAATCAGGGTGCTGTATGAGAACGACTAGTGGACTGCTTATCGCCCCGACACCCCCCTTCACCACCTGGCCCTGGACCCGGTGGAGTGGGTATGGTCGGTCCAAGGAGGGCAGGGTAAGCACTTCACAAAGTCCCTCTTCTCCCTGACTGTCAAAGCTACCTACAGGCTTCTTAGACCCAAGGCAGCACTGCGTGACCAGGTGGGGGAACGCTGGAGGAACCATCTCAACATAAGCAGACAGAAACTGAGGCCAATTCGATGGTTCAAATCAATCAAAGCAAAACCAGCTAAGCACGCGTCCCTCCAATGGCAAATAGAGCACCGGTGCCTCCCGACAAACAACTGGCTGATTGATAGAACATCCCTGGAGCAGCAGGGGCGGGCTCTCCCATGGTGCCGCCTCTGCACAAATGCATTCCCCTCTCGGAAAAGACCAGAAACAATCGAACACATTTTCCTCCAATGCCCGGGCACACTCTGGCTATGGAGATGGTGGGACCGAGTCTGGGATCAACTGGGAACAACAGCCCAATGGCCGTGGGACTGGAAGGCCTTGTTGTGTGAGGCCTGGCCCAAGGACCTAGCAGATCAGATGGATGATTTCATGGAAAATATGCTCAGGATGGGGCGGCGGGCAATCATCTGGGCACTGTGGCGTCGACGATGCACCTTCGAAATGGAGGGAGCACGACTGGAAGGCCCCAAACTAACAGAGTGTGTCCAACAACTGATCCAGACCGAAATAACAGCTAAATGGAACGACCTCAGGGCACAACTCAAAACTCCTTCACAAACAACAAGACATCAAGCAAAAAATCCGGGACTTTTGCTCATGCTGGCTGGGGGGTGCAAATGGAGGACGGCTGGGAACGGTGGAATGGAAGGGCGAACACACGGCGCCCAGGGAAGACCAACCGAAGGAGGAGATCATAAGAAACTACCAGCTGCGGTTTCATGAATGGACCCAAGTGGAGGCAACGATCCCATTGAAACCCCCGGAAAATTTCCCTGATTTCTTCCCCCCCCCTGCTAACAGCCTAGTGGACATGAAGTGGTATGGAATGGATCCTGCATGACACCAGGGGTGGGATTAGTGAGTGGGACTGCTGGACTCGCTTTCCAGTGGGTAATAGAGGGAGGGTGACTAGATTGCTGGAGTACATATCAGGCGCCTGTGCTAGGGTGAAGAGGTCCCCCCCCCCTTTTTTTTCTTCAGCAGCTTACTCAGTCAATCCCCTGGACCTCTAGGGTAACTCAGGCTGCTCAGTCAATCCCCGGAGAACAGGGTAATCAATGCTGGCAGACCTCTTAATCACTATTCTCACTGTTCTCAGACATCCTTTATTTCTGTAAATGGGACGCTGGACCCGTTTTCCAGCAGGTGATGCTCCCCACCAATAGATGGAGCCTCCCTCCAGGTGTTAGTGCTGTCTGCTCTTACCAGCAGCACTAACACTGGCAAGGGCGTGTTTTTTTAAAAAAAAAAAAAAAAAAAAAAGCATAAAAGAATGTGAGCACTTTTACAGCACAATGGAATCTGGTCCTCATATAACCCACCCGCCCACTCACCCAGCCACCCACCTGCCCACTTACCCACCCACGCAACCCGCATTCACTGAGCAACTACTTTGTTCTGCAACGAGCTAAACATAGCATAAACATGGCACATAGCACAAACACAGCACAAACACAACACAAAAATAGCACAAACATAGTATAAACATGCCGCGCAAACACAGCACAAACACAACACAAAAATAGCACAAACATAGTACACACAAGGCTCGAACACAAAACCTGCACAGCACAAACAAGGGTCGAACACAGAGACAAGCATAGGAGAAATACGGCATGAACACAGCACAAACATAGCACGTTGGAGCAGGATCCTGTTATAGGAGCCCCCTCCCACCCACCTGCTCGCTGATCCACCCACCCATCCACTCGCTGAGGAAGTGCCTCATTCTGCCCTGGGCTGCAGAGAGCACAAACATAGCATGTACATAGCACAAACACAGCACAAGACATAGCACACGACATAGCGTAAACATAGCACATGATAAGATAGCACAAGACATAGCACAAACAAGGCTCGAACATAGAACCGGTACAGCTAGGAAGGTATCAGCCATCCGGGCAAGGCTTCCTGATCGGGTAACGTACAGCTAGGAAGGTCTCAGCCATCCTGTGAACAAAACAGACCGTTTTTTAGCAACACTTCCTGATTGGTAATCTGCCGCTAGGAAGCTTTCAAACATGCTGTGTGGAAATCAGACATGGGATTGGATGGAGAGATGGACAATGGGAGCTTAGTCTTCGTCCAACTGCCCTCTACACCCGAATAAGGGCGTACTCAGCTCTGGACATGATTGCAGTCAGATTCATGCAGGTCAGACTGCAATTGCAGTCTGACACTTTAACGACATGGGGGCAGAGGGGGTGTGGGGGAGGGGGCGCGGAGCTCCCCCTCCCCCACACTTGAACATAATCAGATCCATACCTGGAAGAAAAAAGACATGACATCAGACAACCAAGTTTTATACCCGAACCCAAAACTGCACCCCTGACTCTAAGAGCCGCGCCCCCACCTCCTCGCATGCCACACAAACCAATGTATACATGGGGGGAAGGAGGTGTGGGGGAGACCAAGTCAGCGTGCGTGAAACCAGGCCAACGTGGGGCTGCCGTGCCACAATAACTTTTGATAAACAGCCTCAAAAAAAAATAGCTGCAACATTTGAGCCCCTCACCCTGACAGCCAGGGGGAAAGGACGAAAACACCTGGCCCTGGCTGCGCCACCACGCTTGGCGTGGTCTAACAGTTGAATTTACCTGGGCTGGTTAGTCCTATGATAATACCTCAAGGCCATCGCCCAGCCCACGGGGTAGGTTTGCACCACAGGAGTGGTGCGAGAGCAAGGCTGTACCAGCCCCTCGTCATGGTGATGCCCGGTGGGCAGGCATTGCCAATGTGGGAACCGGCGGCGCTAGTGCCAAACAGTATGGCCAGTTGCTGTACGTCCCCCTACCCCGGCCCTACGTTAGCGGTGTCTAATGGCCAATATCGTTGCTGCATAGCAACCAACAACAGTGGCCTAGGTCCTGCCAAAGCTGGCTTGGGGGTCCAACAGCTGGTAGAACACCAAGCTTGCCCAGGCACGTGCGTGAGGCCAGTGGGGATTGAACCCACGACCTCCTCAGGGCAACCTCTGTCCCTTACCAACTGAGCTGCCCCGGATCCAGATAGAGTGTTATTTGGTGGAGCAAGGGGCCGGGCCAACGTGGGGCCCCGCTTCACTTCTCACCACATGCGCAGAAGACAAAAAATACGGGCGTGTATATTTCCATGTTCTAGCGGGAAATTCGTTCTTATCTTGCAGATTTGGTGATGGTAAAGTGAGGCCCATGATCTGTGAGTCAACCCCATGATCTGCTGCCATTACGTACTTCGAGGGCTCTACTCTGCTGCCGGCGTTTCGTCACTCCACTCGACAACGGGCTGCGAGCCCGCGGCTACGCCGTATGTCAGTGCCTGCGGTGTTCGGCCTGACGATGTGGAGTTCTATTCACACTCACCCCAGAAAGGAAATAGGTGAGTCCGCACGGTGTGGCGAAGTGCACCCTCCCTTCCTCCCTTCCTCCCTCCCTCCCTCCCTCACTCGGTCCTCTCTCTCTCTTTCTCTCTCTCCCTCGCTCTCTTTCTCTCTCCCTTCCTCCTTCCCTCTATCTTTCCTTCCCTCCCTCCTTCCCTCCCTTCCCCGCCCCTCCCCCGCCCTCCCTCTCTCTCTTAGCGGTGCTGTGTATGAAGAGGCGGAGAGTACCGTTCACTTTCGGCCCGAAAACCAAATAGTTGGGTTCGCCCGGTGTGTGCGAAGTGCCTCTCTCTGCCTCTCTCTCTCTGCCCCTCTCTCTCTCTCTCTCTCTCTCTCTCTCTCTCTCTCTCTCTCTCTGCCCCTCTCTCTCTCTCTCTCTCTCTGCCCCTCTCTCTCTCTCTCTCTCTCTCTCTCTCTCTCCACATCCCTCCTTTCCTCCTTCCTCCACCCACGTTTAGAGCTGCAACTCCATTCTTTTTGGGGGTGCCATGTTGGAAGTGGGACTGGATATGTGCATATCGGGAGTAGGTGGGGATCAAGTCGTGAATGCGGAGGGGCAGCGGGAGAAGGAAACACTACGGAGAGGTCGAGTGCCTGGTCAGGCAGGTAGGAGAAGGTCGCCATCGGAATTTTGAGAGGCAGGAGTAGCAGGAGAAGGACGAAGGGGGAGGGGGAGGATGCCCCATCAGGAGGATGAGAGGGTCAGGAATTGGTCGGTCAGGATGGGATGCGGCAACAGAGGAAGCGGGAGTGTCGCCGGGATAGGCTGAAGCATGCAAAGTAAGTTTACGGCGACAAGGAGGTAGTGGAGGGGAAAGATGTCAATTAACGCCCTAAAGTAGATGGGAGGAAGATGTTGTAGGTCGGGAACCCAATTTGCGAAGAGCGGGACGGAGGGCGCGAGTTGAAGGATGGAATCGGACAGGCGGAAGGGAGGCAATGCAGAAGGAAGAAACGGAAAAAAGCCAGCGGGTGGGGGTGGGGTGGAGAGAGAGAGAGAGAGAGAGAGAGAGAGAGAGAGAGAGAGAGAGAGAGAGAGAGAGAGAGAGGGCGCAAGTTGAAGGATGGAATAGCAAAGGCGGAAGGGAGGCAGTGGAGAA